GTTCGTTAGTTTTTGGGATTACTAGGACAATATTGTCACCTGTAACGAGTATGTACATACTCTCTACAAGTATATACATATACTTATTCAAATATTCAATGGCAATTATATAAGTGTTAAGATAATTTGAAAGATTTTACGAAGAAAATATTATTATTCACGTCACACTTTACATGATTAAATTTGTAAACATTGATAAATGTAAAAAGTTGTTGCGAAATTTTCTGAATTTTTTTTTCCTTTCCTTTTTATTTATTTTTTTTTCTTTTTCTTTTCTTGTCTTATTGACCTCGTAATACAACACGTTCGTATGCACGCAAATATATATCATTGAAATTTTTCCATTGGATTTGTTTTTGATAAAAAGAAAGAAAAAGATGAAGGAATCAAGGAAAAAAAAGTCACGTAGAGTGAACCAAATTCGAATTTTTTTACTTTCCATAGTTATCCTATATTAATATAACATTATTATAATTTACTATACCACATATTTAAAAAAAAAAATATATATATATATAAAGGAACAAAATGTATTATTGTTCAGAAGTAATTAAATTCTTACCTATTATCAAATAATAAGAATGTTGATACGGCGAAACTCGTATTTATTATCAGCTTAATTACGTTGATTATTATTCATTAAAGCGTTACTGACGTTTGCATTTTAATGATGTCTAAGGTCGATTGAAATTACACAACAAAAAACTTTCTTGATTTCCGTCCCTTCATTTATTATAATAACATAAAAATGTATTATATTCATTTCGCAACAACGAGACGAACAAAGCCTCGTCTCTTTTCATTGTTCAATATACATATATATATATATATATATATATATATATATATATTTATTTATTAATATATATCAGATATATTATGTAATTAATATATATATATATATATATATATATATATATATCATATCATGTAATTCTTGTTTTCTTTTCGATTATAAAAAAAAGGACGATGAAGCTTTCATTAAATTAAAAAAGAAATATATATATATATATTTTTTTTCTTATGTATGTACAAATATGCTACATGTGCATGTGTCTGTGTGTGTGTGTGTGTGTATCTGCGTTATTATCGCATGGTTGACTTATGATATATGTCAGTGATCGTCCTCTCTAAGAATTCTTATTTCTATTTTTCCTTTTCTAGTCGCATTTTTTCTTACGTAATAGTTGCAATGACTCTCTAAGGCTAATGAACGATGATTTTATATATGCACACATATTTATGTTCAAGCACATATCACACATGTATTTATATTACGTGATGGAAGAAGCTCGATTATTAATTTGTAAATATTATTGGAATGAAGAAGAAAGGTGAACGAAAAGGAAAAATTATAGAAATAATGAAATATAATGATAAAAATTGATGAGTAATTTTAATAATAATTCCTTTATTATTTTATTCGTTCGAGCGACAATCCATTGAATTTTCTTTACAATAATATATGTATTTAATTGTTCGTCGAAATTATATATTTTATTTTCATATTAAATTATATAAAAATTTAATCGATAAATTGATTTAGATCGATCCAAAATTATATACTACAATTTAATTTGCCAATGATTTCTTTTTTTTTTTTTTTTTTTTAATACTTTTTTTCTTTTTATTTTTTTCTTTTTTTTTTTTTTTTTTTTTATTCTTTTATTTAATCACTCGTGGCAATATATAATACAATACGATTGAATGACGTTCCAGGAATTACGATAACAATTATTGTATCTTGAATAAATATTTATTTTTTCTTTGTTCATTGCATTATACAATAATATGTAGATTATTGTATACAAGAAGTAAAAAAATATTGTCTATCTTTTAGGGTACAATCTCGTTTTATGAAAGAAAATATGTTTATTAAAATGTACAATAGAATACAATACAAGTTATCGTTCGCGTATTATTAATTGTATTACTATTTTTCTTCCTTTTTATGCTTAACGATAATAAAATCATTTTTGTTTTCTCTCTCTCTCTCTCTCTCTCTCTCTCTCTCTCTCTTTCTCGAAGATAAAAAAAAGAAAGAAAGAAAAGAATGAAATAAATAAAAGATAAAGAGAGAAATAAATAAAAGATAAAGAGAGAAATAAAATAAAAAAATCGAATTGTTACAGTGATATATAATAAAGTTACAAATTAATGAAATTAATTGAAAAATCTTTCAAACTGTTCGATTTTTAAATTGTTACGTATTATTGTATTTTAATACGTCGATAAATAATGTAAAATTTTTGTTCGAAAGAGAGAAAAAGAAAAACGTGCGAGAAAGAAGGAATCAACAAAAAAAAAAAAAAAAAAAGGAAAAAAAAAGAGAAAGAAAAAAGAATAAAAAAACGAAGTAAAATCTTTTAATCGATATTTTTACAGTGCGATCACGTTCCGGCTGATTCCTCGATCAAGGCTGACATATCGCTGAACAATAATGAAGAAAAATTGAGACGATTGTTAGCGTTTAAAGATGCACCCGAATACCTGCAGCACAATCCTTACATACTACATGGATATCGGGGATACTTAACTACAAAATTATGTATCGAAAGGTATCTACATATATCTATATATATATATATGATATATGTATAAAAGCTTAAAAGTATGTCATTTGCATGAACGCACTCGGAAAATCTTGTCGACTGATTACGAAACTTTGATCATTGACCTTAGCAGTTCGATCCCAATGAAAAACAAATTCTTCAGAAAAATTTGCAAGAAAAGAAAAAACGACAAAGAAAAAGAAAGAAAGAAAGAAAGAAATTAAGACAAATGACAAATTTATTTCCATTCTTTTTTTTTTTTTTCTTTTTTTTTTTCGTTCTATCGATCGAAAGATATAAGAGAAAGAAAAAGAAAAAAAAAAAGAAGAAAAAAGAACGAGAAAAAATAGAAATAGAAATGAAAGTATTCGAACGATTTTATTTTTTTTTTTTTTTTAGTTCCTTTCTTTTCTTTATTTATTTATTTATTTATTTATTTATTTTTTTTTTTCGTAGTATATTCTGGTGGACGAATGAGACGATCAACATATGGAGTCATATCTTTGGATGGATGCTGTTCTTCGGTTTGACCCTATACGATCTTTGCTTGTTAAATATACACGCGCCGTTTGGTGATAAAGTGATAGTAGCATTATTATTGATCTGTTTTCAGGTAAATTAATTGTACTCTTAAAGGCCAATTAACGTTTAATTAACTTAACAAAAATCTTTGTTTCTAATATTCTATCTGTCTCTTTTCTCTCTCTCTTTCATCTCTCTTTATCATCTCTCTCTTTCCCTCTTTTAGGTATGCATGATCTTATCATCAGTTTATCATACATTCTCCTGTCGAAGCGAAAAGGATTATTGGTGTTTTCTGTCTTTCGATCTATTTGGCATAGCACTTAGCCTGTTATCGATTTACATGTCCGGCGTTTACTATGCCTTTTGGTGTCACAAGGTATGTAGAACGACAATGAATCTTATACGTTATAATTAACCCAGATAATTTTTTATATTTAATTAATTACTTCCATACACGATCTATCATATCGAGATGACAATCCGTGATTTTTTTCGTTCTCCTTCTTCTTCTTTTTTTCTTTTTTTCTTTTTTCTTTTTTTGTTTCTTTTGTTTTTCCTTGTATTATTTTTATCCTTATACAATATAAATTTAAATTTTTATAATGACATAAGAACAATAAGAAAAAGAAGAAGAAGAAGAAGAAAAAAAGAAAGACACGAAATGATCCAAACAAAGAATAAATCTTTTTCAAAAATGTACGACAGTCGGATTGACGTTTTGTTAAATGCAAGGAAAAAAAAAACAAAAAAAAAAAAAAACAAAACAAGAAAAAAGGAAAGAAAGAAAAGAAAAAACGAGGATACATTGAACAATAACATTTTAACACGCGTTTTATAACTTTTGCAGGATCTACAAAAATTTTATTTGGTGACAGTATTGGTTATATTCCTTTTCGCGATGGTACTGCAGATACCGAAATTGAATGTTAACGGGAACGTGAAGCTGATTGTGTTCGTAGCTTGGGCAGTTTATGGAGTATTGCCAACGCTGCATTGGAGTATTGCAATGGGCGGTATGGACAATCCTATCGTTAGAATGTTACTACCAAGGGTACTTGGGATGTACACGATTAGTGGTTTAGCATTCGTTATATATTTGACGAAGATACCTGAACGTTTCTTACCTGGTAATATGTTTTACAATATTAACATTTGTCTATATACTTTTTACATTTCTTCTTTTTCTTTTTCTTCACGGTTCAAACGATCAGCCAGTCAACTTTCTAATGTATGAATTTTCTTTCTTTCTCACTTTCTTTCTCTCTCTCTCTCTCTCTCTCTCTCTCTCTCTCTCTCTCTCTCTTTCTCTCTTTTCATCATCCTAAAAGAGAAATTTTTCGAGATATGGCTCGTTAATCAATCTCTTTCTCTCTCTCTCTCTCTCTCTCTATGAATAATATACATTTAATCGAATTTATTCGTTCATCTTGAATAAGAATAATAATTAGGTACTTTTTATAACTCCTCATATGTTTTTATTTATTTTCTTTTTCGTTTGCTTTATTTTCTAATTATCTCTCTGTTCTGTTTCTTTTTTTTTTCTTACAAATTTGTTTTTCTTTTTCTTTTTTTTTTTTTTTTTTTTTTTTTTTTTTCGTTTATTTCATCCTTCTATTTAATTTCTCTTTTCTTTGATTTGTCGTTCCTTTCTTCTTTTTTTTTTTTTCTTTTCTGCTTCATTGATCCTTAGGCTGGGTCGATTATGTTGGTTCGTCCCATCAATGGTGGCACGCGCTGGTCGTGTTGGCACTTTATTATTGGCACAATACCGGCATGCTCTATGTCGAATATAGAATGAACCACGGGTGTCCTGCTAATATGAAATTATGACATACGGATAATGACGATCCATCTGGTTAGTACCTATAAATAATATAATATAATTTGATATATATATATATAGATATATAGATCATTTAGATG